GAAGCCAGGCCAGCGCCCGGGATGGGGGGCAGGTACTCCCCACCTCCCTGCCTCCCCTCCTGCTCCTCATTCCTCCCTCCCCCTTTATTACCATTTTTGTACTTGATGATTTCTCCCTGAGCAATGACTCAGTTTGAAGGAGGGAACCAGGAGCCTGGTGGGAAGCCTTCCCCAGAGAGATGGCTTGAGGGGCTTTAAAGACTGTGAATGGAGCAAGAGCACGGCTGCACCTCTGTATGTTGGGGGATGATGACGTCCATTGCTGTGTGATGGCTTGGAATTTAATTTATTAAATTAAAGTCAAATTGGAGTTTATAAACTGGGCAATTGCTTATCCTTTGAAAAGGAAATAGACTTTGGATTGAAGAATGGAAAGATGAGAGATAGGGATCCAATTAGTGAGATGGGGCAAATGTTCCTGCACAGAAAAAGGTACATGTAGAGAGGATAGAAGAAGCAAGAGGCCTGGAAGGGTGAAGTTGCAGCAAAAATGTCTTATTAGCTAGTCCAGCATCTTCATCCCCTTTTCTCAAGCAGGCTGCTCCCTCCAGGACATAGTAGAGTTCAGAGCATGGACTCTACAATGAGACTACCTGGATTTGAGTCCCAGCTCCACTAATTACCCGTGTGAGTTTGGGCAAGTTATAAAATCTGAGTTTTCTCATCTGTAAAACGGGGACTGTGGTAATAGCAGCTATCATTCAGTTGTGGGTGAGATGAAAATGAGTAAAGTTCTTAGAAGTCTGCTGCACATCATCATTGCTAAGTAAGTATCAACTATTGCCTCAGAAGAAACGAGGATGGGGAAGTCTTACAAGTGTTTCATCATAATAAAAAGTCTTATTCCTAGTTGTGGGCAAGTTTTAGCAATACCAGCAAATTCTGTCCCTGGTTCCTGTCTTCCTGGATCTTATACAGACCTTAAACCAGGTAAGCTGTTACTGAGTCTGCCACAAACACCCTGAGTGACCTTGAACAGGACACTAGTCCTTTCTGAATCTCAGCTTCCTCATCTCTGATGTAAAGATGATCTGAATAATCATTCAGGTTACTTTTAGCCTTGACATTCTATGACTTGCTTGCACCACAGAGGGTTCAAGCCATGTGCCTTTGGGTAGAGAGCATGAAATTGTTAATATTCCCTATGCTCCTGTCCATTTTAGTCACAGAAGATGGGATATTTAGAAGTGCAGATATTTAGTATTTGGTTAATTTTTATATAGTAAAATGTTCAAATCTAGGTCTTGAAAACTCAAAAGAGAGATTTTTCAAGCTGTTTCCTGTAACCTGATAAATGTGACTTATAGTAGTTACCAAGGAGCAGTTTGTTTACCAGTATGATAGACAGGCAAACACCATGAACTTATTTTTTTTTTTTAAGAGAGAGTGAGAGAGGAGAGAGAGAGAGAGAGAGAGAGAGAATTTTTTTAATATTTATTTTTTAGTTTTTTGGCGGACACAACATCTTTGTTGGTATGTGGTGCTGAGGATCGAACCCGGGTCGCACGCATGCCAGGCAAGCGCGCTACCGCTTGAGCCACATCCCCAGCCCCACACCATGAACTTATAATATAATTGTTGATGGAGGGCAGATCTCAGATTCCCACTGGACCTAGGACTGAATATATGGTAACTGGAAATTATACTCAGCTTGTGGTGCTGAGCACCCAGAGATCAATGCAGTCATATATTGTTATAATGAAGATAATCCTGATCTCATTTCAAATATAGGGATTTTAAAAATTAATGCAGGGCTGGGATGTAGCTTGGTGGAATACTTGCCTACCACCACAAAAAAAAGGGCAAAAGAAATATTAAATATAATTTCATCAACTTTATCCATTTCACACTTTCAAAAGAGATCCACCGTTTTTAATGAGAATGAATTATGCTTTAATTTTTTTGTAGCAGCTTTTAAGGAACAAATCTCAGGGGCTGGGGCTGTAGCTCGGTGGCCGAGTGCTTGCCTGGCATGCGTGAGGCACTGGGGTTGATCCTTAATACCACATAAAAATAAATAAAAAAACAAAACAAAAAAGACATTCTGTTCATCTACAACTACAAAAATTTTTTAAAAATAACAAATCTCAGCATATGTCTGGATTATTCAGCCAAAATTGTGGCTTGTTTTCAACAGAAGCTGATTGAGGTGGAAGTAAACTATGCTAGACAACAAGACACTGCTTTAAGTTGCAGAAACAGAGATTGGTCCCAGAGCAATACTGAAAGTTTGCTCTGAAACCTATGTTGAAATTCACACAGCTCTGTAACTTTTTCTTCATGAAATTGCTAAAATAAAGCTAATAGCCATTTTCATCACTGAAAATGGAATTAAAATGAAATTGGCATTTCATGAAGCACTATTATAAATGTACTTCTGAATGAATAAAGTTGATAAAAAATATATTTTGTTATTTAAAAAAATTTTTTAGTTGTAGATGGAATACCTTTATTTTATTTATTTTTATGTGGTACTGAGGATCGAACCCAGTGCCTCGAATGTGCAAAGCAAGTGCTCTACCCCTTAGCTACAACCCCAGCCCCATGTTATTTTTGAATTATGTTTTTAAATAGGGACCAAGCACCAGGTGCAGTGGCACCTGCCTGTAGTCCTAGCAATTCAGGAGGCTGAGGCAGCAGGATCACAAATTTAAAGTCAGCCCTGGCAGTTTAGCAAGACCCTGTCTCAAAATAAATAAAATTAACAACAACAAAAAAACAGGACTGAGAATGTAGCTCAGTGGTAAAGCACCTCTGGATTTAATCTTCAATACCATAAAATAAAAGGGCAGGGGGCAAGGTACAATTTATAATTCACTCTTGCATTGTTCAAAACAAAACTTATGCACAAACTGGACATTTTCTTTTTTCTTTTGCAGTCCTGGGGAACAAATCCAGGACCTCCCATATACTAGGAAAACATTGTACCACCACTGAGCTATACCCCAGATCATGATCCGTTTTAATGCATCTCTAAACCTATTTATATTGAACATTTAATGTGTTTTCTGATTATATAAATTAGGTTTATTTCTAGGTTAGAAGATATAAAAAATTATAAGGGAATAAAATATCAATCCCAATGAATGCTAAGGTATATGATTTATACATGATTTGACATCTTTTAAAATTTTTTTCTTATTATTTAGTCATAGATGGACACAGTACCTTTATTTTATTTATTTTGTTTATGTGGTGCTGAGTGCCCAGAGATATACCCCCAATCATGATCTATTTTAATGCATCTCTAAACTTATTAAACATTTAATGTGTTTTCTGATTATATAAATTAGGCTTATTAGGTTAGAAGATACAGAAAATTATGTCAATAAAAATGTCAATCCCACTGAATTTTTGTAAGGTACATTATTTGACATCTTTTTAAAAATATTTATTTTTTAGTTTTTAAGTGGACACAATATCTTTATTTTACATTTATGTGGTGCTGAGGATCGAACTCAGTGCCTCAAGCATGCTAGGCAAGCATTCTCTTGAACCATAACCCCAGCCCTATTTGACATCTTTTTAAAATTTTTTTTTCTTATTATTCAGTCATAAATGGACACGGTACTTTCATTTTACTTATTTATGTGGTGCTGAGGACCAAACCCAGAGCGCATGCAAGTCAAGCACTCTACCACTAAGCCACAACCCCCAGCCCTTATTTGACAACTTGAACTGAGTAAATTACTAAATTTCAGCCACTGGACTAAGTGATTGGGTTATAAAGGTGAAGAAAGAGACACAATCCCTGTCCCCCCTCACTGACTAGACTAGTGTAGGATGCAGTCAAATAAACAGGTAAACAAAATAATATCCATAATGTGATGGGGCTGTACTGGGAAATACAGGAAAGGACTGTCAAAGAAAACTTCAGGGTTTGAAAAGAAGTGTCTTCGCTGAGACTAGAATGAGTAGTAATCAATCAAATAAGTGTGAGATGGAGAAGGGGAAGATTATTTCAGGGAGAAAAAGAGCAGGCACAAAGCATGAAAAGTGATAGGAGGTTAGATGCGGAGAAACTGAAAAAAAAATGTAGGGCTCAGGAGTAAGAAACGAGGTGGAGGAGGATATGATTTGAAAGGCTTGGTTTGGTTTGGGGGCTTTGCCTTACAGGTAATAGAAAGCCTATGAGTTATTTAAAGCAGCGTGGCGACTTCATCAGATCTGGGTTTTTTTTGTTTGTTTGTTTTGTTTTGTTTTGTTTTTAAGATCATAGTTTGTGCTCCGTGGAGGACGGCTGTGTAGCGAAGCAAGAGTGCATGCAGTTGGGACCAGCTAGATTGACGTAGAAATCTGGGCTGGACGTCGTTTATGGATTTAGGACGGAGGCTGCAAAGATAAATGGTGGTGTATTTAAGAGATCCTTGTTTAAAAAGATAAAATCCGCAGAACTTGGCAATAGACTGGGTGTGAAAAGTAAGGGGGAAATGCGGATGACTGCAAGGTTTCTGACCTGAAAGAGTGGATGGATGGTATGGTCGTTCACTGAACCTGCAGACAAGCGAAGCAGAGATTTGGGGGTAAGAGAAACGGGCACAAAAATAACAATATTTAAGACAGCTAAGGATGGAGACAGGGCCATGAGTTTGCGCCGAGCGGGTGGCAGCGCTGGGCAGCTAGCCTACCACACCTCCTGGAAGTTGCCCACGCAGCCAGCTAACTAAAGCAAGGAGTCAAAGAGCAACCAGACCCCGCAGGACACCAAGCTCGAGCACTGAGCATGCCCATTGGTGCCGCGCGCCGAGTATGCGCAATAGGGGAAATTCAGGCCCCTAGACTCCCCGCTTGCTCACCGCCAGGAGCCCGGGCTCTGACCCACGCTATTCTTACCCGCATCCGGTTGTTCCTCACTCCTGCCGCGACGGCGAGCACCACCCACCGTTTCCGCCCCTTCCGTGTTTTGGTGAGCACGGGTTCCGTCAGAGGCAGCGACCATTGGTTGCCAGTCTGGCCGAGATCGGTGATTGGCTGTCGCTGGCCGTCGCTCAAAGCCCTCCCGGTAGATGCTGTGAGGTGGAGAACTGGAGAGCTCGGGAGCCGACGCTGGGTAAGTTTTGGCTCGGTGTTCCGCGGGGTTGGTGGCTCGGTGCGCTCTACTGGGGCAATTTAAGGCTAGGCTCTTCCTGAGCCTCCTAGTTGAGGCTTCCTCTTGCATCTTGGCCACGCTGTTCTGCTCTGACCTGGACCCCTCACCACCACTCGAACCTCCCTGCTTTCTAGTCTGGGGGCTTTGCTGCCGCCAAGACTCGGTCACCACCACCGTTTAGGAGGAAGGATTCCCGGAAGCCCGTAGGGCCGCGGGTGATATGTTTTGCCCTCCGGAAAGATGTCTTCGAATTCTGCCCGTCCTTCAAGGCTTGGCCCGGGCCTCACCGCTTAGGCGAGCCTTTCCTGTTTTGTCTGCTTACGGGGATTTCTGTCTCGATCACCCGCCTCGGGTGCTTTGTTTGGGTCGCTGTCTTCGATCTCTTCAGCCAAATTGTGAACCTTTAGGAGTTTAGCACCGGGGCCCCTCTTTTTCTTGATATCATTCATTCAATGTCTTGGTATACAACATATGTCCTCTTCAAAGATTTGCTGAAGTGTTAGGAATCCTTTGGATTGCCTTTATTGGCCTTTTACCATAATTTGTGCTTAGAACGTCTCACATTCAGAAACGAACATACTAATAGCTAACACATATTAAATTATCGCGGTGTGTTAGGCTAAACGTTTTAAGATCCATAGTCTAGTTTTGGAATTCAGTGAGATGCGTATAATTAGCCCCGTGCTGTACAGAAAACTGAGGCTAAAGTAACTTGCCTAAGATCATGTAGTTAGTAAATGAGCTTTATAACCAGATCTGTTGAATCCAAAACCCATGGCTGTAATATTAGTATCCTGTTTTACATTTAAGGAAATAGGTTCAGAAAAGCTAAGTGATTTGTTCAAAATAAAATAGTAATTTATAAGCTTCCTTAAACATGGCAGAAGAGTTTGGGATGTAGTAAAGTGGTTGCCTAGAATGCTTAAGGAGTTTGGTTCCCAGTTCTGCAAAACACTGCAAGAGCTTTTAGTAGGTATGTGCATGTCCTAAGGGTAGAACTGAAYAGGGCACAGGCTTGGCTTTCTAGGAGCCTAAGCTTAACTGGAGAAAACTGACAAAATAACTACTTAATTAAATATATTTTGGGTATCGTGTATATAAGTATGTTTGTGTGGAGAGGGAATAGGATAGGAGGGTTAAAACAGGCAGATGTAGGAGGAACATGGAGTCAAACCCTTAGCTTTAAGTTGTACCATCATGCCCTAGTTTTGTGACCTTGGGGTAATTACTTAGTCTTTCTGAGCCTATTTCCTTATCTTTAAAATGGGGTAATAAGAAGCTGGACATGGAGGCTGGGGATGTGGCTCAAACGGTAGCGCGTTAGCCTGGCATGCGTGCGGCCTGGGTTCGATCCTCAGCACCACATACAAAGATGTTGTGTCTGCTGAAAAAAACTAAAAAATAAATATTAAAAAATTTTCTCTCTCTCTCTCTTAAAAAAAAAAAAAAAAAAGAAGAAGCTGGACATGTGTCTCAGTGGTAGAACATTTGCTTACCAAGGGCAAGACCTTGGTTTGATCCCCAGTGTAGTAAAATAAAATAGGGTAATAGGTCTGGTGTGGTGGTGTACACTTGTAATCCCAGCCACTTGGGGGAAGAGAGTTGCAAGTTCAAAGCCAGCCTAAGCAATTTAGGGAGACCCTATCCCAAAATAGAAAAGGAAGGGCTAGAGATGTGGCTCAGTGATTAAGTTCCCCTGGTTTCAATCCATAGTACCAAAAGAAAAAAAAAAAGACAATAACAAAAAAAAAAATAGTGCAAATAGTGCAGTAATAATAGTACCTACTTCAATAAGATTGTATTAATGAGGGTTTGTCATTGTTTTTGTAGTACTAGAGAGTGAACCCAGGGCCTGACCTACATTCTCAGTCCTTTTTACTTTAAGATAGGGCTTGCTAAGTTGTCTAGACTGGCAAACATATGATCCTCCTGCCTCAGTCTCTCTAGTATCTGGGATTACTGATGTGTACCACTCTCAGCTTAATGAGTTTTTATGCTTGTATATTAGTTGTTTCATTTGAATTCCTTGCCTGCAGATTCTGTCCTACATTTCCCTAGGGTAGAAATAGAAACACAGAAAAATTAGAGGCAGGGGAACAGTGAAAGGAATTGAGGAGCTTTGCTTAAGTTTCTGATTGTTCTGGATCTCTAGTTAGCCTGCCTCATAGGTCTTTTTCACCAGTGTAAACCAGGTAGGTGTTTAGAATATTTGTGCTCAGAACTATGCTTAGCATAGTGTACATATATAGGCTGCTTGGAAGCAGCTTATTGCCCAGTTTGGTAAGCAGAAATAGAATACTTAAAAGGACCATGAGTGACCATGCGCAGCCTAAAAATAGGGTTGAAGTTTCATGGTGTTAACCCTTCCAGCCATAGAACAAAGAGGTAATAATAATTGCTGAAGGATGAGGTCATTTAGGAAGGCTTCCTGAAATGTGATCATAGCCCAGTATTTATTGAGCATCTAGGGTGTGCAAAGCTCTGTGCCTATCTGGGAATAAATGATAGTCCCTTTTCTGAACAACTGTTAACTGTAGTGGAGGTAGATGTTCCATTGCTTTGAAACAAGTGCTGCAATGAGAGTGTGTACAGAGTACTGTGGGCAGAAGAAATGGAATGTTTCGCATATACATGGATGGAATGGGAAAGAGGTCACCAAGGAAGGGACATTTGGTTCTGAAGGTTGAATAAAAGTTGCTTAGGCAGAGAGTTTTAGGAGAGTGTAGTAAATTCAGGGACAATTGAATCAGAGAGGAAGAGAGGAGGAATGGATGGGTGAGGAAGCCAGAGAAGCAGTATGTATATGGGAAAGAACATGATCTTTGGATTGGAATTGAAGCTTTTCTACATCAAATGAAGTGAAGTGTAGAGAGAGTTCACAGAGCTCACACACCATAGGCCCTCAATATGTGTTCCTTTCCTGGGCTGTTGAGGTAGTTAGGCCAGTGTGGGTAGAGTGGTAGGAGAGTTGGAAAATTAGGGATTTTATTTTCTGGTTTCAGAAAGCTTTCCCTACTTTTCTTACCTCAACATTATAAAAGTAGTCAACATTTTCTCCTAATAGGGCTTCATTGTTAGTCTCTGAGCAATCCAACAATGCTGTGTTCACTCGTGTCAAGGGTGACCAGATTCTTCTCTGAGGATGAAAAGAGACTAAGTATGTCCACAGTTTCCATCTGTCTCAGACAGGCCATGGGGAGCAATGTCCTATTCTCTTCCAGGTCTATCCTTGAGAGCAACAAGAATCAGTGAGAGGGCTGGGGTTGTGGGTCAGTGTTAGAGCACTTGCCCAGCAGGTATAAGGCACTTTGATTTGTAGCACCACATAAAAATAAATAAATAAAATAAAGATATTGTGCCCATCTACAACTAAAAAAAAGTATTTAAAAAAAAATCAGAAGTTTCCAACAAGAAGGTGACCTTCAGGCTACAAGATCAAGGCATTTTAGCATCCTCTCTACCACTGAACTACAGCCCCAGACCTTTTTATTTTTATTTATTTATTTTTATTATTATTATTTTTGGTACCAGGGATTGAACCCAGGACTCCTTAACTACTGAATCAGATCCCCCGCTGTTTTTATTTTTTACTTTGAAAAGGGGTCTTGCTAAGTTGCTTAGGATGTCACTGAATTTTGCCAAGGTTGGCTTTGAACTTATGATCCTCCTGCCTCAGCCTCCTGAGCCACTAGGAAAACTGGCATACCAGTGGCATGCGCCACTGAGCCTGATTGTGCCCATCTTTTTATTTTCATTTTGAGACAGAGTCTCACTAAATTGCCCAGGCTGGCCTTGAACTTATGATCCTCCTGCCTTCCCTTGTAGCTAGGATCATAGGCATGCACCAACTTTGTTTTTATTTTTCTGATACACATATTTATTATATGTCTAAGCACACCCAGCACTGTATTTTTGGTTTCCTTTTTTTTTTTTTTTTCTTTCTTTTTTCCCCCTGGTACTTGGAATCAAACCCAGTCAATCCCAGGGCCTTACACATGCTAGGCAATCACTCTATCAATAAGCCACACCTCCAGTCCTCTGGGGACTGGACACTAAGGATGCAGTATAAATGGCGGGTGTTAAGAGAGTGGTGAAGTCGACCATTGGGTTAGGCAAAGACAGATTATATGACACTTTAAAAGACTGGTTGGGGGACTTATAATATGATCCAATAAGAAATAGGGTACTTCTGGGTTCATCTGAAGGCTATATTAAATAGAAAAAATATGAACTTTGGAGTCACCCTGACCTGACCCTAACACACTAGTATTATGTGGCCTTGGGCAAATCAGTTAACCTCTCCTGCTCTCAGGTCCTTATCTACAAATAAGGTTAAAAACAGTGCTTACCTCACAGGGTACTGTTGCCAATTAAATGTCATAGTGCAAACAAAATGTTTAACATGGTACCTGATATGTAGTAAGTAAGAAATTCAGAACAAAAAGATTTGTCATCCCCATTCTGGCCAAAGTCACATAGCTAGTAGTTAGTATACAGTGGGGTCTGGATTTGAACTCTGGTGCTTCTCCAAAGTCACCTCTTTGAACCTAAGCATTGTTCTTCCACCCATTGGAATAATTGTTTCTTGGCTGGTTGCTCTGAAGCTTTATGAGAAAATGTCTGCTAGAGTGTTTAGCTCAGTACCTGGCACATGCTCAACAGTGTTAGTTTTTTTTCTCCCTTCCCATGAACACCAGGCAGCTTCCTGGGGTTGGAGAAACTGCTACTCCATCCTTATTGAAAAAAGCACAGTTTTCTACAGGTCACTGGCAAAAACCCTCATTGATTCTCAGCAGGCTGCCTGCCCAGATGTGTGTCCCCAGCAGCCTGTTGGGTGGAATCTTTGCAACTATGGATTTCTTCCTGTTCTCTAGGGTGAAGGTCATGTCGCCTCCTGGGAAAGTTCCCCGGAAAGAAAACCTGGGGCTCCAGTGTGAGTGGGGGTCCTGCTCCTTTGTGTGCTCAGCCATGGAGGAGTTCTGTGAGCACGTCACCCAGCACCTGCAGCAGCATCTGCATGGCCCTGGAGAGGAGGAGGGAGAGGAGGAAGAGGATGACCCCCTTGGTAAGGAACATAAAGGGGAAGGAGCTTAAGGACAGGTGGAAAATCTGACTTTGCTTTTCCTAGAGGGAGAGGCAGCCTGGGAAAATGCTGGTTTATTTCCCTAATTGTACTTTTTTGTTTATAAAAGCATTGTAAATTCATTTATTATTTTTTTTAAATACAGTCAACGAAAATATAGGGAATAACTCTTGTCATCCTGCCATCACGAGAAAATTACCTTTTTTTGTGTGTGCATGTTTCTGCTGGGTATTGAACCCAGGGTATCGTGCATGCTAGGCAAATACTCTACCACTGAGCCACAATCTCAGCCCCAAGAGGCAGTTAGTTACTGACAGTACTTCTATTGAGCATTCTTTTTTGACCTCCCTCTGCCTGTGTATACGTATATTAAATACAGATAAATGCACTTTTATATATTGATTGATTGTGTAGTACTAGGGATTGAACCCATAGGTTCTCTACACTGGGCTATATCCCTAGCCTTTTTTATTTTTTCTTTTGAGACAGGGTCTCATTAAGTTGCTCAGGCTGGGCTTGAACTTGCAATCTTCCTACCTCAGCCTCTAGAGTCACTGGGGTTATAGTTGTGTGCCACTGCACCTGGCTGCTTTTATATTTTTTAAAAAGATTGCATTGTGCAATCTGTGGCAGGGTCTCCTTGCAATACATACACACTTTTTGAAAACTACAACCATCAGTTAGGTATATATTTTATTTGGCAACCTTATACACAAAAATTTTGAAATTCTTGATACAAAATACTTATTAAATGATCTCTGAAATGTTTCTCTTTTATTTAAAAAAAAATGTGGTCTGCAGTCCATGTTATTGACTTCACCCCTTAATGGGTCACAGCACAGTTTGAAAGACTTTCCTACAGAAATGTGGAAACACCTGGGCATAGTCTCTCAGTGCCCTGTAAGCCTGTAATCCCAGTGGCTTGAGAGACTGAGGCAGGAGACTTGTGAGTTCAAAGCCAGCTTCAGCAACCTAGTAAGGACGGAAGCAACTTAGCAAGACCCTATCTCTTAATAAAATATAAAATAGTGCTGGGGAAGTGAATCAGGGGTGAGTCCCCCAGGGTTCAATCCCCAGTACCAAAACAGAAAATGCTGTCTTCCCACCTCAAAAATCTGTTCTCCATCAGGAGACTATGAGCTATAATAAAGTCAAATAATATTTATACAAAAGAGAAATTAGGGGATGGTTATATTTTCTGAAGTACCTACTTTCCAAAACAAGCAAATTCCTAAAAAGCTTTGAMAATAATGGTGCTTAGAGATACAAAAGAGATGGGAAGTGGGTTGGAAGAGTTGATGGGGCCTTCCTAAGCAAGGCAGATCTTCAGCAGAACAGGAGAGAAAGGAGGACTGAAGGTTTTCAAGGTTGAAAGGCCACATCTTTCTCAGGAACTGAAGAAACTGAGCAAATGCCATGCATGCCATCTGTACTTGTGGTCTCCGATTTTCTGGCATAGGCCTTACACACACCGTTACCTCTATCTAGATCACATGTTTTCTTCACCTGTTTATAAATATTCATCCTTTAGTTCTCAGCACGGGGACAATTCCCAAGACACCTCTGTACACATAAAATTACTCCTGTTTAATACTTTTATAGTACCTTGTCCCTCCCATAGCACTTATCACTAGTCACAGTTTAATATTTAGTTGTGATTATTTGATCAGTGTTCTCATTCCCTGACTGAAAGCTACGAGAGGGCAAGGACTAGCACTCTTTTTTTTTTTTTTTAAGAGAAAGAGAATTTTTTAATATTTATTTTTCATTTTTGGTGGATACAACATCTTTATTTTATTTTTATGTGGTGCTGAGAATCGAACCCAGCACCCTGCGCATGACAGGCGAGCGCGTTACTGCTTTAGCCACATCCCCAGCCCAGGACTAGCACTCTTTTACTCATTATATTCCCAGTGTCTGAAACATAACTGGTGGTCATTAATTATCAGTATTTGTTGAATGAACTCATGATAACTTGATCAGAGTACTACTAAGTGCCTCAGGTGGAAGGCAAGCTGAGCCTTGGAAAGTATCAGACTCTTCCTTCTAAACCCCTTTCTGCAGAGGAAGAATTCTCCTGCCTGTGGCAGGAATGTGGCTTTTGCTCTCTGGACAGTTCTGCTGACCTCATCCGCCATGTCTACTTCCACTGCTACCACACCAAGCTGAAACAGTGGGGGCTGCAGGCCTTGCAAAACCAGGCTGACCTCAGCCCCTGCATCCTGGACTTCCAGAGCCGGAACGTCATTCCTGACATCCCTGACCACTTCCTGTGTCTATGGGAACATTGTGAGGTCAGCTGGCAGTACCAGAAAKAGGGGGGAGAGGAAGCTGGGGATCTTAACTCAAGATACCTTGCCTTGACTCTTTCCAGGGTGCTTTGTACTTCTGCTAGTATTTCTCTAATTCTCTGTAGTGCCTTTCCTCAGTTTCCCATCCCTACCAAGTTAATTTGGGAGAGATCTGAGAAGTCCCCCTTTGGACACATAGGGGTAAGAGTCCCTCCACCCAACCTCCGTCCTCACCCCAAGTTGCCCTGGCACAGAGCTCCTTCGACAATCCCGAGTGGTTCTATCGGCATGTGGAAGCACACAGCCTGTGCTGTGAAAACCAAGCAGTCGGCAAGGACAACCACGTGGTGCTGTGTGGCTGGAAAGGTAGGGCCACCTCTTTGCTCTGGCCTCTGCCAGAAACTTGGGGGTGCTGAGGTGCTAGGGGAGCCAGGGGTAGGACCAGTCCTGCAGACAAGCCTCAAGGGGAGGGGTGGCTAGCCTGACTAGGCCTTCCTTCCTAGGCTGTACCTGTACCTTCAAGGACCGCTGTAAGCTCCGAGAACACCTCCGTAGCCACACCCAGGAGAAGGTGGTGGCCTGCCCCACCTGCGGGGGCATGTTTGCCAACAATACCAAGTTCTTAGATCACATCCGTCGCCAGACCTCATTGGATCGTAAGCAGCCAGAGAGAACAGGGTGGTTGCAGGCTGTTCTGCTTGGAGAGGGGTTGAGGGCATTTTCCCAGGGGAGGTGGCCACTGAAGAAATCTGCACCTTGGCTACCTCCCTATTTTGGGTTCAGGTACTTCCCATAGTCTATGATCAGACATTGTTATACAGTTATCTAAGGAGTCCTCACAACAGCCCCATGAGGTAGGCTTCTTATCCCCCTTTTTGCAGATGAGGAAACTGAGGCTCAGAGAGGTTAAATCAGTTACCTGAGATCACACAGCTAGTAAGTGGTAAAACCGGACTTCCAACTCAGGTTCTCGACTCCAAGTCCCATCCATAGCTCCCTAAGCTCCCTTTTGTTCCTTGGGTGGTTCCTTTCTGCTGGGATGGTTCCCCTCACCTCTCCATGCCTCTCTACTGCTCTGCATAGTCCCCCTCTCTTCTGCTCACCCCACCCAGAGCAGCGCTTCCAGTGTTCTCACTGTTCCAAGAGATTTGCCACAGAGCGGCTATTGAGGGACCACATGCGCAACCATGGTGAGTGGCCTGCTGCCCCAATCTCCCTGCCTGCTCTACAAGTTTCTAGAGTCCTCAAATCTCAGCCTCCTCTCTGTTTCTCTCAGTGAATCACTATAAGTGCCCTCTGTGTGACATGACCTGCCCACTGCCTTCCTCTCTCCGCAATCACATGCGCTTTCGCCACAGTGAGGACCGGCCTTTTAAATGTGATTGTTGTGACTACAGGTAAGAGGAACTAGGGACCAGAAAAAAAGAGCTCATTTTCCATGGTCTCCCACGCCCTTCAACCCCTTCTGACCTCTCCTGGCAGCTGCAAGAATCTGATTGACCTGCGAAAGCACCTGGACACCCACAGCAAGGAACCAGCCTACAGGTGTGATTTTGAGAACTGCAGCTTCAGTGCCCGGTCCCTCTGCTCTATCAAGTCCCATTACCGCAAAGTGCATGAAGTGAGTGGGGCTGGTGGTGGGAAAGGGTTAGGAGCAGTGTGGGGGAACCTGGGGTGAAGAACTAGCCTCATTTCTCCCTCCCCTCCCCGTCAGGGAGACTCAGAGCCAAGGTACAAATGTCATGTGTGTGACAAATGCTTTACTCGTGGCAACAACCTCACCGTGCACCTTCGAAAGAAGCACCAGTTCAAGTGGCCCTCAGGACACCCCCGTTTTCGGTATGTCTTTTAACTCCCACTCCGCATTCACATTTTTTTCATATATTTTCTTTTTTAATTTTATTTATATTTTGGTGATGCTGGGGATTGAACCCAGGGCCTTGTGCATGCAAGGCAAGCACTCTGCCAACTGAGCTGTATCCCCAGCTCTTCATACATTTTCCAACAAGTTAAAAACTTTGAATTTGTTGGTTTGTTGATGTGTACCATCTAGACTAGATGTTAGGCTAGATCCTGAGAATAGAAGTGGAGCAAAGATTGTTTTTCTGATTTTTTTTTTTTTTTTAATATAAGGCACAGTGCCAAACCCAGCAAATGGTACATAAAGTCCTGTGACCAGAACTAGTGTTAAAACCTAAGGATCTTGACCCTTAGCTCCATGGTCTTCTCATAAACCCTTTGATGCTCCTGCCCTTTCACATAGGTGTCTCTCTCTCTCAGATTCAGTTTCTATATAAAATTTTTAATTTGGGGTAACAATTCTTCCCTTTTGTTTTTACTTTTACATAGTCCAATTTTTGACCTTTTGTCCTATCATTTTGAATCCTAGGACTTCCATCCCTCATGTCTGTCTCTTAACTTGCCAATATCCAGGCCATTTGCATCTTGCCTGTCTTTGCTGCTTCTCTTTCATCAGGTACAAGGAACATGAAGATGGCTACATGCGGCTGCAGCTGGTTCGCTATGAAAGTGTAGAGCTGACACAGCAACTACTGAGGCAGCCCCAAGAGGGATCAGGCCTGGGAGCATCACTGAATGAGAGCAGTCTGCAGGGCATCATTCTTGAAACAGTGCTGGGGGAGCCAGGACTTAAGGAAGAAGTGGAAGACCAGGGTAGGGGCAGTGAGGGGACAGCCCTCTCAGCCTCTCAGGACACCCCCAGCCCTGTCATCCATGTGGTGAATCAGACCAATGCCCAGGGCCAGCGAGAGATTGTCTACTATGTGCTGTCAGAAGCCCCAGGAGAGCCCCCCCCAACTCCTGAACCATCTTCAGTGGGCATCATGGAAAAGCTCCAAGGAATAGCTGAGGAACCGGAGGTCCAGATGGTCTGAATGCTTCAGAGCCTTCCCATTCCTTCCCTGGGCCTCAGGGTTTGAGCCAGACAGGTAGCAGTGCCCCTAGTGGGCAGCCCTTGCCAGTGGATGCCTTTAGGAGTGGTGCTGAGAGCAGTGTGGTCCCATCTGGCCCAGGCTTACATCATTTTGCAGACTAAGGACTTCATTTTTTTTGCCACACTGAATTTTATAGGGTATCCTGAGGAGTTTGGATTCTTTGAGGGGATCCTGGATGGGTGTGTTCTTACAGCAGCTGTAATCGGGCTTAACCATGAGCCCCTCAACATGCTGGACCTTGATTAAAATCCTTAGCTCACATCCATTCCCATATTTAGGAGTCCTTAGGCACAGGGATGGTGAGTGAGTGGTCCTGCATGGACCCTTTCCTCACCATCAGCTAAGACATTGAGATCCAGGCAGCCATTTTCCTCTTAAAAGAGTTCCTCCTGCACCCCAGGGACATTCATGGTTATCCTCAGGGACAGGATTGGAGGCACTGAGTATGTGACACTTGCTTTTGATAATAAAAGAAACACTTGGGCTGTTACTCATTTCTTCTTCATTAGGTAATGAGGAGATAAGCTGCCAAAGAGGAGCTGAGTAATTGCGCCTTTTCCCCTTTTAGTGACTCGTGGTTTGTTTAACAGTCATCTGTTGTTCTCCTTTGGTGGAATTTGTCCATTTCTTTTTAGAGCACCTGTCAGCTCCATGGAGGCCCCAGACACTTGACCATGAATGTAGATCTATCAAATGGATAAGAATGGGGCTCACCCAGGAAGGTAGAGCTACTGACCAGGGCTGTACTCTTAGTCTTTATTGGAACCCCTGTTCCTCTTGGATAGGGTTCTTCACCTATGGGACTGCTAAGGAAGCTAGGAAGAGGGTGGATTAGGATGCCTCCCAGGGAATGAATGCCAAGTACTCAAGGGGTCCAGGAACCAAATTAGAAAATTGTGCATCTGGCTGGGCATGGTGGTACACATCTGTAATCCCAGCAACTCGGAGGCTGAGGCAGGAGGATCACAAGTTTGAGGCTAACCTCAGCAGCTAAGCAAGGCCCTGAGCAACTTAGTGAGACCTCCATCTCAAAAAAAAAAAAGAAAAAAAATTAAAAGGGCTGGGAGTCAGTCTCAGTGGAGCATTCCTGTAATCCCAGCAGCTCAGGAGAATCACAAATTCAAAGCCAGCCTCAGCAAAATAAAGGTGCTAAGCAACTCAGTGAGACATAATAGGGCTGGGGATATGGTTCAGTGGTCGAGTGCCCCTGAGTTCAATCCCTCATACTCTTTCCTCCTCCCAAAAAAAGGGCTGGAGATGTGACTCAATGGTTAGGTGCCTCTGGGTTCAATCCCAAATACCTTAAAATAAGAAAAGACAGTTGTGTCTTGATACATTTTTTCCTGGGGAAAAGATGTTTTTCATTAGATTCTCGAAGAGGTTGAAACCTTACAAAATAATGATTTCGTATCCATGTTCAGTCACTCCTCAGCACTCTGTTCCATTTTTGTGGTCTCTACCGTCTGGAGAGGTCAAGGAAATACTCTTAAGAGGTCTTGGATGAATAGTAAGCCGCCCAAAAAAGATTTCTGGGGGGCTGTGGCTGTGGCTCAGTGGTAGAGCACTTGCCCAGCATTCGTGAGGCACTGGGTATTGCCTGGGCAAAAGATTAGGGAAGAGGAAAGGCTTTACCCAGAAAGAGACTTCCTCCTGACCAAGACCAAATTAAGACTTTAAAAGACAGTCCTGAAAAGATTGTGGTGACCTACATTTCATCTGTATAATTCAAACAAAACATTAAGCCATGAATTATATAATATCTGAAGATTTAAGTAGATACCCTGTCTTATACTTTCTTAAAGGGTGTCAGGCAGGGAGCTTAGGAGTTGGAAGCTGGTGCCTGTTTCATCCTACAAGTCCACAATCAGAGAAGGGCACTGAAGTGCTAAGTGTATATGAAAGAGAAGTGATTCTCCAAGGTGAGAAGAGAGGAATAGTTAATAAGGAATAAGTTATTCCAAACTGTGAGATTATGACAGTGAATATGGGCACTCAATGAATGTTAAATGGATGAATGAATTTTGCTCAAGATTGGGAAGTGAATGAGGAACATACCCATTCCCTGTACAGTAGCAGAAGGAGTTAAGGCTGAGATGGAAAGGTAGGGGAGATTGTGAAAACTCCATATTATGCTAAATAGCTTGGATTTCTTGGTTAGAAAAGAAATGTGGAGGGCAAGTAAGTAAATAAAACTTGGAAAGGAATGGGAATATCTCTGTCCCCATGGAGCTTAGGGTTAAGTTCTCAAGGGGAAGGGACTGGAGTATATTTGAGGGTCAAGGAGAAAAAGCCAGCGAGATTTAGAAAATACAAGAGAAGGAATATTTGATAGAGTAAGATGCTAGATTTTGAGTGGGAAAGAAACAGAGAGGAAAAAGATAATACTTGGAAAGGACTGAAGATTCTCCCTTGAGAAAGAAGGGAAGAATGAAAGTGGGCATAGATTTAGTTTGTAGGAGGTATGAGTGGAATGTCAAGCTTGGTGGTCTCTCTTTACTTGATAAATTAAAGTTATCAAGGGGTAATGTGTTGGATTAAAAAGATTATAAGAAATGTCAACTTTCAGAAATGCTATTAAAAGATGAGTGCTGGGTATGGTGGCGCATACCTGTAATACCAGCAATTTGGGAGGCTGAGCAGCAGGACCACAAGATTGAGATCAGCGTGGGCAACTTAGACTCTGTCTCAAAATATAAAATAGAAAAAGGGCCAGGGTTGTACCTCAGTGGTAGAATGCTCCTAGGTTCACTAGCACCAAAGAAACAAAAAAGTATAGAAGTAGGCGGGGCATAGTAGCACACACCTCTAATCCCAGCTAGCTACTCAGGAAGCTGAGGCAGGATCACAAGTTTGAGGCAAGCTTGGGCAACTTAGCAAGACCATATCTCAAAAATTTTGAAAGGGCTAGGGGGATAACTCAGTATTAGAGCACTTGCCTAGCATGTATGAAGCCCTGGGGTTCAATTCCCAGTACCCCCCCCCCAAAAAAAAAAAAGAGAAAGAAAGATATAGAAGTAAAACCACCCAAAGACCCAGCTAAGACTGAAAAACAAGTTGAGGCAGTGGCAACCTCAAAACAATCATATGACTTCTTGGCAGCAGGTACTAGCATCTTTGAAACAAAATAGAAGATACACTACAAGGTAGATCTATAGCAGTGGACAGGGCATGGATGATTACATGGTGCCAAGGAGCTGGGCAATTAGAGTAGCTGGAGAGGGATCATGAAGTCCAAACTGGACAGGGAGTGTCTGGGAGACTGAAAGGTAGTAGTTAGAACCAAAGCATGGGAGGTTTCAAAAGGCTTCTAAAGCTTAGCAGGTAGAAAGGAAAGTTCATGGTCAGAAATCAGACATTTTAAAATGGAACTATTTAGGGTCCAAAGGATGACCACAGGGAGGTAAGCTGCTAAGTGAGACAGGGGTCACTGGAGTAGAAGAGACCAAGGGAAATAAGGCATTTTGAACACCTACTAGCAGTGCCCTGTCTCATCAGCCCTGTGTTAGGGGAAGGGCAATAGGCCATAGAGCAAAGCTGGGTGGGAAAACGCCTGATTTAAGGCTGGTTCCACAAAAAAAAAAAAAAAAAAAAAAAAAAAAAGAAGCCAAAGAGTGTGGAGGGAGTTCAGGTTCTTTTATTTAAGTTTTAAATTTTTATTTTTATTTTTTGGTACTGGGGATTGGACCCAGGCATACTTTACCATTGAACCACATCCCTAATCCTTTTTATTTTTTATTTTGAGACAGGGTCTTGTTAAGTTGCTGAGGCTGGCCTCAAACTCGCAATCCTTCTGCCTCAGCCCCTGGAGTTACTCGGATTACAGACATGTGTCACCATGCCCAGCTGCAATTAAGTTTTTTTCTGTTTGTTTGTTTTGAGAAGGAATCTCACTAGGTTGCCCAGGATGACCTTGAACTCCTGGGCTCAAGTGTCGTCCTGTCTCAGCCTTCCAAGTAGCTAGGACTATAGTACATATCACTACACCTAGCTAATAAAGATTGAAAAAAGGTAACAGCAAAGCCCACCTAGTCCCCAAGAGATCAGGAAAGGCAATCAGTAGTTGCTCCTCCACAGTCCCAGATTCACTGTCTGCCTCTGGAACCAATAGAGAGAGTAGACTTTGCTGCCTTACCCTAAGATGGGCCTGAAAAAGGAGAGGGCTCTGTCAGTCTCCTTTATCCAGTCCTCCTTTGCAGACCTGGGTTGCACATCCCAAAATGACCAGTAGAGGGCCTTCCCATTGACAAATACTTCAAAATCTTTCTGTCTACAAATGAAATTCACAATGGGGCAAGGGATAAAAAACTTGGGAGTGGTGGAAGCAGAGCTGGGCCAGTTGACAAGTCCCAAGTGGAAGTCCTTTCCAGATCCTATAGGACCTTGTCACCCTCTTTGTACCCACAAGCCTTTAAATCTCCTTACTAACTGCTTCTCCCACAAATCCCTGCCCAGAGCAGCCTGAGTCTGTTAGATTAGCTCATGGCCCTAAGCTAAGACAAGAATTTTCTTCTGCCTTGCTTCTCTTAAGCCAATTATCATCAATCCTTGTTTGTGTGGGTTCAGGGAACATGCCCAGGAAGGATGCTGGGCTCTGGTGTAAGAGTTGTGACTATCTTTGAGAAAAGGGAGGATCAATCTCAGAGAATAGAAAGAAAATTGGGGAGGGTCCATTTGGACATTATATAACACAGAGGGTAGCTATGGTTGACAATAATTAATTGAATATTTCAAAATAGCTAGTAGAGGACTGGGGATATAGCTCAGTCAGTAGAGTTCTTGCCTTGCATGCACAAGGTCCTGAGTTCAATCCTCAGCACCAAAAAAAAAAAAAAAGCTAGTGGAGAGGATTTTGATTGTTTCCAACACAAATATGATAAATTTGTGAGGTAATGGGTATGTCAGTTACTCTGATAATTACACATTGCATACATGTATTGAAATATCACAGTCTACCCCATAAATATGACAAGTATTATATGTCCAATAATTTATTTTTAAATGGAAAAAAAGAATACAGAACTAGTAAAAGATATTGCCAAGGTTACAAAGCATATCTTTTTTTTCTTTAACCTTTTTTATTAATTTATTTTTTTATGTGTTGCTGAGGATCGAACCCAGATCCTCGACACATACTAGGCGAGTGTTCTACTGCTGAGCCACAAACCCAGTCCTCAAAGCTTATCTTTTTTTTTCTAATTTTTTTTAATGTTTATTTTTTAGTTTTCGGTGGACACAACATCTTTGTTTGTATGTGGTGCTGAGGATTGAACCCGGGCCGCACGCATGCCAGCGAGCGAGCTACCACTTGAGCCACATCCCCAGCCCTCAAAGCATATCTTTTGACTGAAGTTCAGGATGCGGAAGATCTGTTCACAAAACAAGGAGAGGGTATCCTAGAGAACAGGGAAATTTGTTCCAGAGAAGAAAGGGTTCTTTAGTGGGGCACAGGCACATGGCAGGTTTTTTGTTTATTTGTTTGTTTGTTTTGTT